GCCTGACCTAGGGAGGATTTTAGTTAGGGACGATTTTTAATATAATTTTAATTACGACACAGCTACTAATATTTGGCTTTTAATTTGGTCTTAGAGGGGTTTTTATTTTGGTATTTATTTTATTGTTACTTGTTTTTAATATGCTGTGCACCGCCCTGAGTCCTTCGGGAGAAGGGCGGTATATAAATCAAATTAATAAATAAAATAAATAAATAAATTAAATACATGTACATTCAAGGCCAAACTAAATGCTTTCCTTTCCATTCCTACTCCTACGAAGAGGTAGAGTATTATCATGCCTCTGTATTCCAAAAAGGGGGTAAAACTCCTCAACCCCCTGGGCTATTTCAGCTTCTGAGCCGAAGGGAGATTTTTGTGTGAGGAGAGGAGAGAGAACGGACGTCTGAAAACCAGATCCTGAGAGGCTTTTACCTTCTCAAGAGCATCGTATGCCTGGGTGGCTTGGACCTCTTCGTCGGCCCCGGGTGGAATTCTTTTTAAGATGTTCTGCAGAAGGAAAGCATTGTTTATTTATTAGTTCATTCATTCATTCATTCATTTTGTGTCCCGCCTTTACCATTTTTACAAATAACTCCAGTTGGCAAACCTGTCCAACACATCTTCCCCCTCCTACTTTCTCCACAACGACAACCCTGTGAGGTGGGTTGGACTGAGAGAGAGAGCTGGACTGGCCCAAGGTCACCCAGCTGGCTTTCATGCTCAAGGCGAGACTAGAACTCACAGTCTCCCATTTTCTAGAGTCTAAACCAAACTGGCTCTCTGTGAAAAGCTAAAAAAGTAGAGTAGAGTAGAGTAGAAAAAAATAGAGTAGAGTAGAGTAGAGTAGAGTAGAGTAGAGTAGAGTAGAGTAGAGTAGAGTAGAGTAGAGTAGAGTAGAGTAGAGTAGAGTAGAGTAGAGTAGAGTAGAGTAGAAATAATAGAGTAGAGTAAAATAGAATAGAAAGAATAGAGTATAGAGTAGAGTAGAAAAAATAGAGTAGAGTAGAATAGAATAGAATAGAATAGAATAGAATAGAATAGAATAGAATAGAATAGAACAGAGTAGAGTAAAGTAGAGTAGAGTAGAGTAGAATAGAAAGAATAGAGTAGAGTAGAGTAGAGTAGAGTAGAGTAGAGTAGAATAGAATAGAATAGAATAGAATAGAATAGAATAGAATAGAATAGAATAGAATAGAAAAGAAAATAGAATAGAATAGAATAGAAAATAGAATAGAATAATTTTGGAATGGAATGGAATAGAATATGGAATAGAATATGGAATAGAATAGAATAGAATAGAATAGAATAGAATAGAATAGAATAGAATAGAATAGAATAGGGGAACTTTGACCAGTCAAGTCTTCCTACCTGGAGAAGGAGCTTCAGTCGTGTGATGCGCTGGAATGGAAGAATGAGGAAGGATTTGAGGGAGAGGCGCTGGCACACAGGGTCACTTTCCAGTTTCTCCAAGACCTGTTGGAAAGCAGGAACCCCATTCCTAGGCAGGGGAAGAAAAAGGGAGGTGTGACACTTTGTGCGGTAGAAGTCAGAGGCTGGGATCCAAAGGAGGCTCGGCGGGAAAGACGTGAGGTCCAGCTCATCAAAACACAACCCGTTTGTTAAGAACTGCTGGACATTTCTCACTGAAATCAGAACTAATCTATATTATAAAACGTACAATGAAACCGTGCATCGCAAAAAAAAATCGCTTGGAGGTGGGAGATACTTCTAATGTAATCTACCGGATCCCTTGCACGGATTGTCCCTGTGACTACGTAGGACAGATGGGGAGGAAGCTAACCACCAGATTGCAAGAACACAAGTGAGCGGGTCAGACCAGGAGACCCAAACTCATTGGTAGCCTCACACTGCAATGAACAAGGACATACGTTCAATTTCACAACTACTAAGATTGTTGGCAGAGCAGGTACAAAAACAGTCAGGGAAATGATGGAAGCCTGGGAAATGGGCCCCTTGTCAGTCAACAGGAGTGTTGATTAACCACCAGCTTATCAGGGGCTTAAGAGCCGAGGGCTTGGCAGCACAAAGAAACAAGAGCACAATCACCGGTCCTCAACACACCTATCAACCAATAGGAATGCCACATAAATACGATGCATAGAATAACCCAAAGCACATATTCCAGTAGAGAGATGTTCCCTTAGGATGGGCTCCAGTACGAATCCAAAAGCTCGGAAGACTAAACCTCTAGTCCCGGTGACCGACTCAGATTGGATCCTGCCTACGATGAAAAGTTAAACTGAAACAAGCTTGTAAAATGATTCCAGGAACAAACCGAGATACAAAGGACCGTTCAACTGAATGTTGGTTTGTCTCTGATTTGCGAGTCTAGTCTGAAAACCTCGTTCAGGCAAGCAACATTTAAGCCAGCTTGGATACCACGCTTGCCTTCAAAGCACAGTGAGACGTGAGAACATTGGACGTTTTCTGTCATGCCTGAACACAGGGGTCTTCAAAGTTGGCCCTTTGATGACTCGTGGACTTCAGCTCCCAGAATTCCTCAGCCAGGCACACATGCCTGGCTGAGGAATTCTGGGAGTTGAAGTCCACAAGTCATCAAAGGGCCAACTTTGAAGACCCCTGGACTTCAACTCCCAGAATTCCTCAGCTAGGCACGCTGGCTGAGGAATTCTGGGAGTTGAAGTCCACAAGTCATCAAAGGGCCAACTTTGAAGACCCCTGGACTTCAACTCCCAGAATTCCTCAGCTAGGCACGCTGGCTGAGGAATTCTGGGAGTTGAAGTCCCCAAGTCATAAAAGGGCCAAGTTGGAAGACCCCTGCCTTAACATACGAACATGCATCAATTGCAGTACAAAGCTGTGATTTCGGGAGAAGAAAGATGACTTTGCCTAAAAAGCTTTTGGAGAGCACTAGAAAAAGGGAGAAGCAACTGGAAGGCATCTTCAGGTCCTTACATCAGTCTCTGAAAAGTCTGGTCCTGATAGGTCTGGTTGGTCACATATGGCAAGTAGACCCTGCGAAATTCCGGTGCGTTTCTGAGCGCCACGTCACAGACATTGAAGGTGAACATGTTCTCCTCAAGCTTCTCTTCCAGTTCAAAGAGGAAGCTGCAGGCAGCATCAGGTCACATCATGAAAGAGAAGCAGAAGGCCATTATTGCATTTGGGTGGTTCACTTGTCATCCTTCTCTCAGAAGAATGGAAGGGCCATTGGGGGAGGGGGGAAACCACCTTACTTGGGTAGGTTGGTGTGAGGGAAGCGACAGAACAGAACAGAACAGAAAATATGGAATGGAACGGAACACAATAGAGTAGAGTAGAGTAGAGTAGAGTAGAGTAGAGTAGAGTAGAGTAGAGTAGAGTAGAGTAGAGTAGAGTAGAGTAGAGTAGAGTAGAACAGAATAGGATAAGGAACAGAATAGGATAAGGAACAGAATAGGATAAGGAATAGAATAGAGTAGAGTAGAGTAGAGTAGAGTAGAGTAGAGTAGAGTAGAGTAGAGTAGAGTAGAGTAGAGTAGAGTAGAGTAGAGTAGAGTAGAGTAGAGTAGAACAGAATAGGATAAGGAACAGAATAGGATAAGGAATAGAATAGAATAGAATAGAATAGAATAGAATAGAATAGAATAGAATAGAATAGAATAGAATAGAATAGAATAGAATAGAATAAGAATAAGAATAAGGAACAGAATAGAACAGAACAGAACAGAACAGAATAGAATAGAATAGAATAATGGAATGAAGAATAGAATAGAATAGAATAGAATAGAATAGAATAGAATAGAATAGAATAGAATAGAATAGAATAGGAATAAGAATAAGAATAATGAATAGAATAGAATAGAATAAGAATAAGAATAAGGAATAGAATAAGAATAAGGAATAGAATAGAATAGAATAGAATAGAATAGAATAGAATAGAATAGAAGCTGGAAGGGACCTTGGAGGTCTTCTAGTCCAGCCCCCTGCTCAAGCAGGAGAAGGAGAAGTCCTTCTAGGTTGGTTCTCTCTTCAATAAGCTTCCACCCACTGCTCCTTCTCCTGCCCTCTGCTCGGTGTATTAGCCGTTGGGTTTTGAGAACGGGAGGAAGAGAACTCACTTGGCGCTAACGTCCCGGACATCCTGAAGACGGGAGAAAAGCCACTGTCTGTCCTGAGTGCTTAAAACCCCCTGAAGCTCCTGGGAGTGCTGGAAGTGGTCCACGGCCACGTTCAGGCTCCGCAGGTAAGAGGCCTCGGATGCAATCAGTTCAAACTTGGCCTGTTTTTAAGAAGAGAGGGGAAAAAAGCGCGTCCCCGGGCCCACAATTAGATTTCTTTCCAGACGAAACACCCAAATTTGACAGAGAAGAAGGCAGCATTTCATTTCTGATCTCATCCTCCAGAAGAGAGATGGGGCACCCCTCCGGTTCAACTCAAATCAGATCAGTCGTTGCAGTAAATCGAAGGATTTTTTTAAAAAACTGGCTAGATTGGGGAGTCAGCCCTGCCTTCTACCTGCCCCTGTGTCAAGTGTCTGAGTAACGAAACACTTAAAAGGACTTTCAGGCATGTTTTCTCCTAAAAGCATTTATTAATGTTAAAGCCACATCAGCACAGCATGGAGGAATGCTTAGAACTGCTTCTCTTCCGTTACGCATAACATTCCAAACATTTTCCACTCCCTTATTGTAAGGTCATGGTTCACATCTTCCAATCAACTTGGAAGATGTGATTTACTTCCAGTTTCTTTCTCCCGGGCTATCCTTATGCTCCTCCCTCTTTCCTAGTTGCTGGTTTAACTATATATATACCAGACAGTTCTGCACATTGTCAAAGCAAGAATATACAGTATTTGCAGCGTTGACATCCTGATTGAGATTTAAGTCCAATTTAATGGCTCTCTTTCTTTCTTAGGCCTGTCCGCTATCACCCCTGTCTTTTGCAGTCCCCTCTGTCTAGGAATCTATTTTCCTTTTAAAACATGGAGAGATGCTTTTGCATTATTTGGGCCATTCCACTTGTCCTGGAGATTGAAGATTGAAATCCTTTATGCATTTATCTTGGGTGTAATCCCTACCCAACTCAGCAGGATGCATAAGAGTTGGATTATTGATTAGTGTACCAGAAATATCTTTCCCTTTCTAACTGAGACCACCTATTAGATCAGAGCGGATTCCAGCCAAGTGCTGGTTCTTCCCAACCAAGAAACGACCATATCACTTATTCAACATTTACTGCGTCCCTCTGGAATGGCTCCCATCTTTTTTTGTCGGCCCCTGTTGCTCCCATGGGTCAGAGAGAGGCGGGGGGGATGCTGTTTTCCTACCCGCCATCTCTGCATATTAGGACAGAGCTAGGAATTTCAAGGAGCCGTGGTGGTGCAGTGGTTAGAGTGCAGTACTGCAGGTAAACTCTGCCCGCTGTCAGGAGTTCGATCCTGACCGGCTCAAGGTTGACTCAGCCTTCCGTCCTTCCGAGGTCGGTCAAATGAGGACCCAGATAATTTTGGGGGAGGGCAATACCTCTTAAAGCAGGGGTAGGCAACCTTGGCTCTTTTATGACTCGTGGACTTCAACTCCCAGAATTCCTGAGCCAGCCATGTTGGCTCAGGAATTCTGGGAGTTGAAGTCCACGAGTCATAAAAGAGCCAAGGTTGCCTTACCCCTGGACTAGTCCATGCAACAAGGGCTGGGGGGGGAGAGGGAGAAACCATCAGAGGGGTGACAAACAGACAACCGTCCACTTTCCTTTCAACCTTTCAACCTAAACTCACACTGAAAATCATTTCAAGGTTGCTTACCCCTGGCTTAGAGAGTGCTGTAAAGTACTGTCAAGTGGTATATAAGTCTAAGTGCTATGGCTATCTATGCCGTGCAGGCTTACTGCTTAGAATGCAGCATTGCAGGCAAACTCTGCCCACTGTCATGAGTTTGATCCTGATGGGGCTCAAGGTTCACTCATCCATCCTTCCTTCCGAGGACCCAGATCATTGGGGGCAAATATGCTAACTCTGTAAACCGCTTAGAGAGGGCTGTGAACCACTATAAAGCGGTATATAAGTCTAAGTGCCACTGCTATTCATTGCCACGTCCCACCCAGTGCTCGTAGCCCTCTAGATCTGATGATGGTTCTCGTCCTTTACCTCCTGCAGCTTCTGCTCCTCACGGGTCATGCTAAGCAACATGGTGCTGCCTCGCACCATGGGGATGTCCTGCCACAGCGAAGAGCCCGATGAGACGGACAGGCGTTGCAAGTAGGAGTCCTGAGAGATCGGCACTTTCCTCCGCAGCTTTGGGGATAGCGGTTCCGCCTCTTCGGACAGGGAATCGACCTGTTTTTGGCTCTGGATGGCTTTGTTCAGGGCATCATCGCTGTATTCCTGGTAGAGCAATTTGGCTGTAGGGAAAAAATGGATTCCATAAGAGATCCTAAGTCTATTGCAATTACAGATAGTCCTCAACTTACAACAGGTTGTGGACTTCTGGTCCTGTGCGGTAGCGACTGGTCGCGGGCTTGCGGACCACCGCATCCCCGTGGCTAATTTTCGTCCTGCCTGGAGACTTTAATGGGTCCAAGCTGCCCCAGAGAGGCGGTGAAGAAAGAAGGGTGCCCCGGTGACTCTGGAATGACGGCGGTCATTCCGTTCGTCTTGGAAAAAGCCTTCTAACCCGACAGGAGAAAGGCTGTATTTCCCCGATCAGCCCAAGCTACTTGCAACCGAAGTCCAAAAGAACTAACCAGTACAACAGTAAACATCGTGCTTGAAACTGGGTGAGGAATCTGATTTTCCCTTTTCCATTCCACACTTAATTTCCTGGAAAAGATCCCCAAGAAGCAAAATATCTCCGAGAGTGAAGGAGGGGGACTTC